AGGGAGCGGACCTCCGAGTCCTGGCCGTTGACCTGGATGCTTGCTGTCCGGTGCGAACAGAACGCATCCACCCACGCCACCAGCTTTTCCGGGATCCCTCTCGCCTTGAGTCTCTGAAGCAGTCTCTCCTTATACACTCCGTTGTACGCGCCTTTGACGTCGAAGCTGACCAGACTGAGGATTTTCCTCCTCCTCCATGCTCTGTAGATGTAGTCCTGAAGCAGGACCAGCGCCTGCTCTGCCGATCGCTGCTTCCGAGCCCCGAAGTGACTCGTGGGCAGGAGCCCGTATGTTTCGACAGCGTGCGATATCCTCTCGGCTATCACCGATTCCAGCACTTTCCCCAGAGTCGACAACAGCGAGATCGGTCGCCAGGCCTTCGCAATGGTGTAGTCGTTCTTGTTCGGTTTCTTCAGCGGGATGATCTTCGCATGTCTCCATTGCCTAGGCAGTTCTCCCTCGTTCATCGAGGCTCGGAACAGAGTGAGAACCCGATGCTTCACTGCGGGCCACGTCTGCTTCCACACGGCTACTGGCAACCCGTCCTCTCCGGGCGCCTTCCACGATTTCGCTGCAAACAGCTGTCTCTCCACCTCTTCTAACGTAATCTCGGGGAAGGGCACGGGCGGCCGTTGTGGACGCAGCCCCTCGTCGTCGATCCTATCCGGAGGCGGAGGGAAGAACGCAGTCAACAGTCCCTCCGCCTGTTCCCCGGTCTCTTCCGTCTTAGAACCGTCTGCTCTGGTAAGCTGGGGGATCTTGTCGAATGAGGCACCTTTGTCGGCGCATAGATACTTGGCTGCCTTCCAGATGTTCGTATCGTCGGCCAGGAACTCATGCCAGTGGTGCTTCTTCTGTTGTCGGATTGCGTCGTGGTACTGCTTCGCCGCTGCCCGTGCCCGCTCCTCAAGATCCGGCGGACAGCGGCCGGCCCGTCTCTCTGCCCTCGCTCGGTTCCTCCAGAATGTGTGGATCCGGCGCAGCTGAGTGAGGTCGTCCGTCCACCACCTCTTTGCATACCTAGACGGTTTAGCCGTGGGCGTCAACGCCTCTACTGCTTCCACTACTGCCGACATGAGCCTGTCCGTCTGCTGCTGCACGGTACCTCCCGAAGGAACACGTTGTAGTGTGGTTTCAATCCTGGCATTGATCGCCTTCCATGGAGCGTTCTTGAACAGAAGTCGGGCCTTGCTGTCAGTGTTCGGCGTCACAGTTTCATTCCGCTGTCTCAATCGCTCGATGGTCTGAGCCATGGTCTGTCTCGTGCACCGCGCATCGTATCATCATCCGCGCCAACTCCTCCGACGCGATGGACAGATCAATGGTCGTTGCTGCGTCGTTCTTCTGCCACGTCTTCGTCCCTCTTGGCAGAAGGCTACTGAGGGCGAAGTCACTCATCAAGTCGATGATCGGGTCTGCCTCTCCCTGCCTGCTCGCCGAGATATCGTCCCCTCCCCATAGTTGGTCGTGTCGGTTGAAGTCTCCCACGAAGACCACATCCACCACTTCGCCCGCGTTACTCCTGACGCCCGTGATTGCTTGCCGTAACATGGAACATGTGCGACGAAGCATCTCGGGCTCCCGTACCGGAACGTACACCGACACAACAAGCACTCGACGACCCGAGAGTCGAAGAATGGCTCCGGTCATGTCGGGTGACGGTATCGGCACTTGCTCTGCCTCAACATCCCTGTTCACCCACAGCATACTTCTGATCCCCCACCGTCCTTCCTCTCTCCACGCCGTTGGGACCATCCTCGTCCACCTGCTGTGCCGCATCGGCACCGTCAAGATCTTGCCTTCTCTCTTCCACACCCATGGTTCCTGCACTGCTATGACCATGAAGTCTCGCAGTTGCTCATCGTTCATCAGGCTTTTGTGCACTGCATCCTGTTTCCTTACGTTCAGTTGAAGGATCTGAAGGTTTCTACTCATGGAGAGATGGGTAGAGCTTCGGACACTTCTTGCTGAAGGATTCGTGCGGTCCACCGCAGGGAACACACTTCAGTACTGTTTCGCGGCACTCCTTGTGGTGATGGCCCTCCTGGGCGCACCGCCCACATACTAGGCTGTTCTCGCATTTCTCTGCCTTATGCCGGACGATCTGCTGGCATTTGAAGTACTGATGTGTCCGAGACTGGGGCTTGAACACTCCCGTATTTCCAGACTCTCCACCGGCGTGGAAATAGCCCTCTGAGATGAGCCTTCTGGCGTCACTAGCCTTGGTCAAGTAGACCGCCATCGATCCGTACTGTTTCGGGGTTTCTTGGTGGCTTAGCCATACGATTTTGGCGACGGTGGTGTCGTTTTCCTTGCTGAACTCCTCTGCCGCTTCACTTCTGTACTTTCCTTTCTCCTCCCACACCGCCGATCATCGCACAAAGTCTACCTTGATCGGATACAGGTCGTCGTCCCGGACGCGCATGCCCGGGGCAATCTTCGTCTCCGCGATTTGCTTGACCATTTGGTGTTCCGCGTCGTCTCGGCAGACGATTCTGATGAGATCCTCGTTTCTTGGGTTCACGGTGACGGCCTGACACCGCCATCCCGTATGCCCGTCCGCTCGCATCTCCATTTCCACTGCCGCCCTGATCGCGCCCGCGTTGGGCTTGTTGTCATCTTCTGCTTCAACTCGTGAGGTATCGATCGTGCAGTACAGAGTGTCAGCCACGTTGGTCGGGTTCACGCCGGACGTACGGGTCCGTGCATCGCTGGTTTGGTTGGTTGAGGGGATTCGGGTGACGGCGGCGTAGGACGGACTGGGGCCGCTTTGCGCCGAAGCCTGAGTCGCAAAAGCCTCGATCTTTTCGCGTGTCTTCGTGTTATCGTCTTCCACTTGCTGCTTTAACGCCTGCAGGTCGTCGCGGACCGTCTGCAACTCGTCTTTGATTGACCCGAGTTCCTCGTTCGCCGTCCGAAGTTCGCCCGTGACGTGTCGAAGTTCGGCCTGGATATCCTTGTTTCGCAGTTCCGATTTCTTCCATGCGTTGAAAACCACCTGGAGGGATGCGTGAAGCTCCTTCATCTGCTTTCCCATGTCCAGCAGCAGGGTTCTGTCGTGGTCCTCGGTCGCCTTGGTCCTTCCTCTCGCGGCTGACGCGCCCCTGGTGGTAGTCCTCCGCACCCCGTTTCCTCCGAGATCGCTCGGCTCTGCGCTTCCATTGTCGGCAATCTCTTTGTTTCCTTCGTTCAGTCGGACTTTGGTCGTCGGTTTGCGTATCCGTCGCGGTGGCCGCTCCGTTCCGCTGGCCTCCCCCGAGTCGGACGCGACGTTGATTGTGTCCGACTCCGCCTGCATGTTTCACGACGGGACGCGCCGAAAGTGGGTCCACTAGTGCCGCGCCACGCGTCTCGATACCACCCCTTTCGCAAAACACCCAACTGACTCTCAACAGCAACAACAAAAGATGATGATAAGCTGAAAATGCCTCCGTCTGTTGGTATACAGTCACACTCGACTTCATGCACAGTGCGCGTGTACATGCATAATCGAGAGGGTGGTGCCGGGGATGTTTGTCCGTGTGTTTCCTGTCAGAAAGCTTTACTTTCCCACTTGCAGCGAAGGTGTTGAGGCTCCAGTACGACTTGCCCCGGCCGGCATACATGCCATCCAACCAACCCAGACCCGAAGCTTATTAATTCGCGTTTCCGAACATTATTCAGGGCTGACTAAGTATCGTTTGTTCAGAGGCGTCCGGCGAACTTGATGTCCAAGCGTAAATGCTGTGTTCAAGTTACGCCTTACTAACACGACTTCACTAAAAAACCATATATAGGAGAGCATATACGAACGATGTAATTTCTGTAGATTGGATTATGTATTATGCATAGACGGCCGCGATAATCAAAAAACTATTGACCGCTGTACGCTATTGTAAAGTCTGTGTTACGGCCCAACCAGTTGGGGTGCTGGCCGGCGTAACTATATAGTGCAGAACAGGGGATGATGATGCAGGCGCATCATTACCGAAGCTTTTGCTTTGTGGTGCAGTTGTTCGCCCTGACATGCTCGTAACAACTACCCTCTACTACCCTTTAGCGGCCTGGTTAGGTCGTAGGGACTTTAATACTATTATTAACGCTTTAATTACACGAAATCCCTGCTTACTTGCTCTTGTAGGGAGGCAAAGGAAGTAGGTTATCTAGTCTACTGTTAAGCAGCCTTGGCGAGGAGGTAGCAGTGGCCTACTCTCTACCTTCCTAGTGTGCTTAATCTTAAAGGACCTGTGGGATATTTTGAGCGGTACTTTAAAGGACTAATCACTAACCTAAAAGGCTTTAAAGCCTTCTTCTGCAAGATCTGCCTATGCTACTAGGGGACGGGCTCCGGCATGGGCCCTAGATAGCTAACGTAACCGCTAAAGGGACTAGATGGGAAACAATGAATTTGGGGAATTAGCGGGAACTAGTGATAGATAGAACGCATAGTAGCCATCAGGCAGGATTTGGAGGACGGAAGGAAGGGTGATGCACTGTAGAGTATGCAGCCCTAGCCTGCGGCCCTCCACGCCACATAACCCTTGGGAGGTCTGCCGCAAGGGCCCCACCCTTTCCGCCATGGCGTTAAATACAACATCAATAACATCAACAACAACAACAACAACAACAACAACAACAACAACAACAACAACAACAACAACAACAACAACGACATATTTACGTAATCCACTCTTACACGTGTATTTCTAAAATCTTTAGAGCTGGTAGAAACCTGATATGCTACAGTGTATAAAATTAAAGAATAGCCATGGATGTTACTGGCTGTCTGGGATGCTTCGGCGTCTCAGTCACTGCGTAATGGGATCAGCGATACAATATTGGTCTAGAAGGTGGCGGGATAATTGTAGCCAATGGCAACGCCGTCGTGAGCCCATGACCGAGCTTGGTAAAACTAGTGGCAACATCAGCGACAGAACTCAGATACAGAAAATACGGGGTACCTGCTAGAACTAAACTAGAGCAAGACCGAATGGACTCGATGGAAGCCTAAAGACGCCGTATCAGGATGTTGTGTGCGCTTTGGTCAATGGAACCATCGCGCCAGCTGGGGGAAAGCTCTCGAATCTGAAGGGCCTTGTCGTTTCTTCCATTTGAGTGTCGTTATCGTGCCCAGTTGGTAGGGTAATAGCTCGATCCAAAGCGTAGGGCAGCCCGCGGTGACGGCCCCGGACCATCATGAGACAGATGACCATCTTGCTGAAGACGGAATAATGTCCGGACATGGACGTGTTACCAAGTGGACCGCCGAGTGATAGACCAACGTTGCCGCTAGACTGTTCGTTAATTCAACGCTGCAGAGTCTCCTAACGGATGAGCTCTGTGTGCGGGTAGACGAACTAGGCTGAAATGACTTCAAATAGAACAGGAAACACGGAAAAAGACTGTTGAAAAAGTTAGCTCATAAGGCACCGTGTTATGGCATACCATACGAACACGGGATATTCGTAGGGCGACACTCACCGGTTCACTCAAATCTGTAATGCGCCGCGCTTCGGCGATGCAAACAAGAAAGGTTCCGAGGAAGATATACCAGAGATCGAAGCTAAGCTGGTTCCGCATATGATCCATGACGTACGACACGCCATTATTCTCGTCGAGGCCGGTAGCATCAGGCGCCCAGATGCCTAATGCTCGCTCCTCATACGTGTTGGAGGCGCGGACGCTGATGGCAATCGGGAAGACAGCGATGTACATCATCGTTAGTAGGCTAAACTGAACTGCAGGATTAACCTCTGCAAGATTCAGCGTAGAGGTGCCGGTGTGACGAGCAGATGCGGCCTGGAACAGTGCCGAGAGGATACGGGGGCCCATAGGAAGGTCTGTAACAGCTGGATTATCCAGGTCCAGTACGATAATGAGTAGAACGTCGACAAAGTTCAGTATGAACACAGTACCGAACAGAAGCCAGGTGGGGCGGCTAGGGAAGAGGAGCGTATAACATCTCCGCGGGTGGTCAAGAAGGAACTGCAGCGTCTCCTTCGTCTGGGACTGTTTTGGTACCAGCTGCGACGTGGTCCAGATGCAAAGTCGCAGGAAGACCGGATAGCAAGTATTTCCGGCAAAGGCCATAAAGGTCATGACCAGCATTGGCCAAGCGGCGTCCCTGAACGTCGCCATGGAATCTGGCGTGAGGGTGAAGCCGAGGTTGTTGGCCATGGTCTGCGCAGTGTAAACAGCCCTATATACATCTCTAGTCAGTTGTACGGTTCACGTCGCGGCACCCAGGGCAAGTGGCTTACGGTTACTGCCACGAGCCATGATCCGCAGGGATGAGATAACACATACCACCAAGTCTTTCCGACGCCGGACTCAGCCAGCCAATCGCTGTATATAGACGGTGCATTATGGACCCACGGCAGCAGGAATATGACACCAAACAGATGAAGCCCGATAAAATAACCTGCAGGTCAAAGTATAAGCGATGCTGCAATGATATGTTTCGTAAAATCTCGTGCTAGCAGGTGACGCTACCAATGACAAACTTGAATAGCAGCTTCAGAGCGCGATATTCGACGCCGCCGAGAATCTCGCGATCATCCTCAGTCATGTTGCTGAACCTGGAGTTTCGACCAACCGTGGCTTGGCGGGAGAGCTTAGGAAATTGAGGGGCGCGAGGCTGAGATTCAGGGCGGGATTGAGCGCGATCGCCAGAATGATTGTTGACCGTAGGTCGAGTGGTACTCAACACGAACATAGAAGTGGCCGCCTTCTCGATAGATTTGGCCGCCTTGAGGACAGAACCCTCGGAACGGCTTGTGTTTACACGTTGAGCCGGTTTGATGGTATCTGGATCAGGATAAGGACCGTCAGCACCGCCGCGGGACACTGCACCCGGACCCACCCAGATATAACACGATTTTGTGGGTTGGGTTCCTGGAAATATGGCCGCGGGGAGGGGGTTGGCCACCTTCGTCAGGGTCGTCATCAAGGCCACAGCCACTGGCGATTTTGCAGACCACAATGGGTTGTCCTGGAAGGGCTGTCATTAATAACAAGGCCACCGAAGCGATACAGTAAGACTGGTGAATCGGACAGTGATGTTCACTAACCATTGTCAGACTCCTGCGGCGACGGGATGCGCAGTGTAGTCTTGTCCTCCAAACGCAAGCGCTGTTCCTTGGGGTCTTCGTTGTCAAACGTGATCGTAGGCGGTCTCGCTGATCTGTTAACCCTGTGGGCGACTGTAGATTGGTTGGAGTGCAAGGCGGGGGTGCTTTTTGTTTCCGTGTCATCGTCCCTACCTGCGTTCCTGGCGTTCACGTCACCCAGAGACCGATCCACGGCGCCTTCGACATCATCGCGGGCACGGTGCGCGGCCCGCTTCAGGCCTGGGGAAACAACCCGATTCAGTTGCTGATAAAAGGGCAGAGATATGTACAGGATTTGGGAGCGACGCACCGACTTCCTTTAAGTACCGGCGGAACCAGTATATTCTTATGGGGACGACCATGGCGTTGATGAACATGAGGTTCGTGATGATGGGAATCACGTAGAGGAAAACCTGTTGGTACGTCTCAAGATCTTTGACGTCGACACTGTACCAGCCGCCGGCCTTAGCTCGGGAAGATCCGGTGTCCTAAGCAAGGTGAAGACACTCACGTGTTCAGACCGGACTCAGTCGAGCCGCTGCAACCGAAGAAGATGGCATCCACAGCAGTCAAATTGCCATAGGGATACAGGATGGGAAAAGCAAGAAGACTGCAGAAGATAATCCAGGCATCTATAACCCTCCATGCGTCAGTCGACATCCATGTGCGGCACGTCTGCCAACCTCAAGGAGTTGGAAGTAGCAGGCCGACAACTCACAGTGAAGCTGGATAAAACTCAATTGTGGCAGCCGCATGCCAGCGAACGGGGAGGCACATCTTGTGAGTGGGACGAAGCGTCGAGTCATCGGAGCAGAGGCAACGAAGAAGACAACCAAAGTCCAAGCGAAACGGCTTACTGTTCCTGTTTTGGCCTTTGAGAGGAAACACAGTACCGGCGGACGAAGTCACAATCGGTGAAGATGATACTAGTGAACCCTTTTGTACGTGGGATTAGGGCCGCATCGAATTACGTGAGCTAAGAAAAGCCCTGCGTCAACGGCTTCAGGAAAGGAACGCTCAACATTGAGTTGGAATGCGTGGCTGAGCGAGTTGCCAGGCCTTGTCGGAACGTCTGGGCGTCGTCTGTTCAATGCGGTTATCTACGTATACAATGCGAACAGTGCGTTCCATCCCGCCACCACACCAAGTACCTTCAATTTCCTGCCTCAAACTTGAGGAATTTCTGAGGCAAGCAGCGCACACTCTTTTGGATATTGGCAGCAGAAGGCCTTGGGGTTCGACAACTAAGGCAAGGTAAGTAAGGTCTTGGCCCCATTCGCCAAGATGGAGGTCTTGCCGGTGCCAAGCGTGAAAGGAGGAAAAACTCGGAAGCGAGAGAAGAAGATGACGAGGAAATCAAGAAAAGAGGCTGGGTTTGCCCCATGTCCGAATAAAAACACTACCCACAAAGCGCTCAGCGCCTGGGAGGGAGTTGTGGGGCGAGGAGAGCTTGACACAGTGCAAAGCTGGCCGAGCCAACAAACGTACGCGTCCTACTACTCGTGCTACGCACCCCCTACCACTTGATTTCGGAAACCTCCACCCGCGCTAGCGGGTTGTTACGACCCAACAAACATAACGTAACCAGGGCCGCCCCAGGGGCGCCTAGCGGTTACAGGCAAGGTTATATGCAGGGCAACACGGGAACACGTCAATCCCCTCTCGGAACGGAAGAACTAGGGAAGGTCACGTGAAGATAAGAAGGACCGACATACGATAAGCGGTCCATGAACCAGGACCGACATCTCAAGGATCGGTCCTCGTCAGGACCGACTTTGAGACATCGGTCCCAACATGACACACATTGGATATAAGGACATTCATTCCACTTAGATAGAAACCTTCCATAGCTCTTCAGCAATCAACTTCGTGATTCACTCTACCATAAGTGACTCTTAGATTATCCTTCTGTTGTGAAGCTATACGAGCTACCTACGCCTTGACCGACTGATTGATCACCAGACGACCACGACCTAGCCAGATTACCTACGAGACCTGACTTACTGTTACCGAGTATCGACCTCAGCTATCTATTAGCAGAAAACACCACTGTCGGATATCTGACCGTAACAGATATCACCTCTTAACCTAGTACACTAAATCTAGTTTTCTACACGACTAGGTTATTAGAACGTCCTAAAACGGATGGATAATAAACGAAAGAGGCCTAGATTAGTTTTAGCGCTTTGGTCAGCATATAAAACCACGTTTGAGAGGCCTATATTGCCTCTTTGTCGTCAATGGGCACGAAAAGAAATTGGTCGCCTCCATCCATTCGCACAGAAGAGAGGCTCCCTGCGTAGAACCTAGCAGAAAATCTATGCTTGCCTTCGCCATACGTCGGCGGAGATGCCGCGGGGTGGCTTTATGGCCACGCTTATAGAAGTAGAAGTGTACTGGCGTTTTGCGTCTTCCGCAACTGCAGTGAAGCAGTGCGTCTTGGTGGGCAAATCTCTCGTGGTACGCTGCAAAGTCTCCATGATGCGATCTTGCCGCATACAGCCTTCCCAGCAGATGCCAAGGAAGGCGTTACGTGGAAGGGTTGGCGCCGAGACCTTAGCGATCTTGGCCATGTTCGAGTTAAGTCGCGTGACCAACCATTCAAATGGTATAAGAACGAGCACTGGCCAACTGGGGGTGACGGGCAGTTTGTGGTTACGTAATTCAACCGCAGGGTGTCGTAGCGGAGTACCTAGAATTATTGCCTGGACGAAGATTCAATCCGAAATACAGCCAATCACTAGAATTTCTCCCACTTCTCAGGGTGCAGGAGTCTAGGCAGCACATACGTTGTTTAGATTAGGCATCGGCCATGCCCATGTTGATCAGGGTAGAATAATCGTAACGAGGCGCACCGCGAGACTGAACACCGGCTGTGAGTCAGTCGCTATCGCCTGAGCGTGCCACTCAGCCCTGTTTTGACTCCTCGCTGCCCTGCTTTACTAGGTAGCCATCTTCTCCCTTGATCTTTGTTCTCGTTGTTTAAAAACACGCTAGCCTGGCAGGGATACAGCCCGCCACACCAAAATCTGCTTTCGTCGCGGTGTTGCAGTATTTTTGCCCGCAAAAATCATCCCCTCATCTCTCTTTCTACCTAGTTACTCCGAGCGTTCCTGACTTCGTACCAACATAATTCTCCCTCACTCAAACAACAAGTTCATCCCATTGACTAGCTTTAGTAGAGCTGTAACAACATATCTGCCTTTAGCACACAAACTCAGCAAAGCCAGACAGACTGGTTTCGCACTTTGAGAGCAAAATCTCTCCGCATTATTGTCTAGAATCCTGCCCTTGCAGCGCATGGGCCTTCAACAGTATAGTACAAGGATTTGTTTTTTTCAGAATGAACACGAGATCCCCAGCAGTTATTGCCATGGTCGGCTTTCCAAGATACGCATCTGTCCCTGAAGCGCCAGGTGGTCATACACATTGTTTACAGCCCTGCCATAAACATAAAAGGTCCTCTATGTCCAATGGCTGGCGTGCCCTATTTGGCAAGAACGGCGGGAATGATATCGGTTCCTTCCGCCTTTCTAGCTGGATTGATAGCCTTAAAGGCGACCGAGACAGCTACAGGAACATGGACTTGGAGCAGAGCCAGATTGAAACACTTGCCGTAAAGTATGGTACGTGTCGAGAAGTCATAGGACGTGGTGCATTTGGGTGGTAAGATTATCACACAAGACTGTCAAGGCCGGTAGAGAAAAGTTATTCGCGGTCAAGACGTCTATCCGCCGGTCTGAGGAATTGCAAGAAAGGTATCACAAGCATGCGACAACAGAATTCCTTGTCTCTTCTTCCTTCTAGCACCAGAACATTGTCTCTGTTCTGGACCTGATGTGGGACGAAAAGGGAGACTACTGCGAAGTCATAGAATTCTGCGCAGGTGGAAACTTGTTCTCGCTCATCAAATCCACCGGAAAGCTCATGCCCGGTGAGGCCGACTGTTTCTTCCAACAATTGATGCGCGGCGTCAAGTACCTACCCGAAATAGGGGTCGCGCACCGGGACATCAAACCAGAAAACATACTTCTGACCATCGACGGTGTAATAGAGATAACGGATTTCGGTTCCTGCGACTGTTTCAGGATGGCATGGGAATATGATGCCCGGATGATCTCTGGCGTACGTGGCTCTGAGCCTTATATCGCTCCTGAGGAGTACACCGAGACAGAATTCGACGTCCGAGCCGTTGACATGTGGGCTTGTGGCGTCGTCTTTGTGGTCATGCGTACCGGCCGCTACTTCTGGGAAATGGCAAGCAAGGCCGAGGATGAGCTGTATGCTTGCTATTTGGAAGATCGCCGGCTTGAAAGCGGCTTTGCCCCTATCGAGGCTTTTCATAAGGTTGGCAATTCCTCATTGCGGATAGATCTTGTCGGTTTAGTAATAACTTTGAACTACTAGGTACAATGCAGGAACGCAACTTATTGCATTCTAGACCCCCTTCCCAAGCGACGCATTACTGCGTCACAGGTTCTTAAATCCGAATGGATGCGGGAAGTAGCGCTTTGCAGCAATGGCATAGAATCATAGTTAGCATTTAAAGGGCATTTTCTATGGAGTAGGTAATCAATCTTCACACCATTGGAATGCTGGAAGCAGTACGATGCCTACGAGATAAAGCAGCCGAAGCCGATACTAATGGAAAAAAAGATCTGGCCAAAAGGATCTGTTTTTAAATATACAGGGTATCCGTAGATATGGCGATGTGAAGCAACGAAGACTCGTAATATTGGTCTACTTATGTTATTGCTCAATGAAGGGAAAGAAAAAAGAGGTTGTCGCCACGGCCGTTGGAGGCCGTTATACGACCTCCTGGGCGCACGAGTCATCCGGCTGGCAGCCGGATAACCAGTGTTCCGACATCTACCAACAAAAGAGATTGACGATTAAAGGCAAGCCTACTCTCTCAAGCCGAAACAAGCGGGCACGAATCCGGCAGGTTGAACAGAAGGCCTCTGATGTCCTTGATGAGGCCAGTCTAAGCGCCTCTCAGAACAGCACACAGCAGCTCGGGGATCCCTATCTCTCCGAGAAGGATCGGCAACCCGGCTCCAAGCGGTCACACACAACAACACCTTCTAAGAACTCGATGGTATGCCTCGGCGATGGGGACACTGATGTTACGGCCCACCCAGTTGGGGTACTGGCCGGTGTAACTATATAATGCAAAACAGGGGATAATGATGCAGGTGCATCATTACCGAAGCTTTTGCTTTGTGCCAGAGTTGGTCGCCCTGACCTGCTCGTGAGAACTGCTAGTAGCAGTATGAATGAAGACGAGCCTGAACGGTAACGTGGGTGACGAAGGGGATAATACTGTTGTTGTTATTATCCTTATTCTGCGTGAAGAGGGGAGGAAGCTATCTAGGGGCTGGCAGCTGAGGTGAGATAGATAAGGTACAGGTCCTCCCTTGCGGCTGTGGTTAATCCGGGCCCGATTGGCCCGATCAGCCGGGCCGCGCTGGATAACGGATATTCAGTGATATTCATTAACATCCTATTCCGACACGAAGAAGGGAACATCGTTATAATTACTGATATTGTGCCTCTGGGACTTCTGGCCGAAGACGAGTCTATTGATTTACCGAAAGCGAGATGCGAGTCTATCACAATGGATAATAGGGGGTTGGTGAGGCTGTATTTAGTCCCTTGTATTGATTGAAGTAGTTGACTGTTCTGACGCCGAGTCAAACCATGACAACCGCAAACCAAGCAAGGCCTAAAACAGCACCCATAACGATAACAACCGGAGGGCTCACGCTAAAAGAGTAGCCAAAAACGAAGCTCGACGCCGTCACAACAACCCACCATGGCTCCTGAGCAAGACTCGTGCCTTGCTGGAAGCTTTCGTCAATGTATCCAATCTGCCATAGGCGGTAGACTGCAGTGTAGATGAGTCCGACAGCACCAGCATTAACGCCCCTAAGAAGGGACTTCACCCATCTTAGGCCACGGATAGCATTCCATATGCCCATCGTGCCATGTATCGTAATAAGACCCGGGGCAAAGATGCCAATGAATCCGAGTGCTGCCCCGGCTGCCGATTTGTAACCGCTGTTGATCGCAGTCAGGGAGCCGAGGTACACGGCGAAGTTGAAATTAGGGCCTGGGAAGCTCTGCTGGATGGCGAGACCAATAAGAAAGTCCCTTGGGCTTACCCAACGTTCGGCGACGACGTATTCGCGAAGCAGGGGGATAACAACAGGTCCTCCGCCGAATATAATAGTTCCTGCAAGGTACATGTTTGCAAAGAAACTGAAAAGGAGCGACTTGGCAGGCAACACGCCACGGAGAACCATAACGACAACAAAAGAGAGGAGAAAACTCCCGATTATGCCGAGGCCAAAAGTCCACGAGAAATCGAGAGTACGTTCATCTGGGACCATGCGTGGTCCTGGCTCAGGGCATGGACCCTCGTTCTCAGCCACTGGGAGGGTTTCCGTATCGTTTCCCCGGCTCGGCCGGGTCTTCGCTCTATTTCGCTCTTTAGCAGGAGTTGAAGTACCAGTGGCAGTGGCAGTGTCAGTGTTCTGGGGCATAGACTGCGCCCGTGAAAGCTGGATAGATTCCATCTCCTCTGTCGGGGGCCGTCTCCTGGAGTTCTTTATAGCGGTCAATACGGCTTTGATGGGGCCGTGAAGCCAACGATAGTCATGGATGATGGTAATAACGCCGGCCAGGAACATTAGAAGAGGAAAGTACCATAGTGCATTGTAGAGGATACCAGCTGCACCGCTAAGCAAGACGAGTACATGGGTTGTTTTGTCGTTGATGGCCTTTTCTGATAATTGAACAGCGGCGACCGCAATGATGCCGACAGTCGAGGCGTTCAGACCGGAAAGTAGGGCATACACAGGGCCGGGGAGAGTATCCCCAATGTTCGAGACGCCAATGGAGAGGCTATACATTCCGAGGGCACCGGGGAGACTGAGGGGATGCGTTAGCCCTGCTGATACGATGTTTTGACGGGACATGGTTACTAACCTCCAGATTAAAAAGCCTAGGAACGCAGGGAGGAAGCCGTCATGGATGAGGTTAATGCAATAATGCAGCTTGGTGCTACCAGGACCAGAAAAGGCCTGACATACACTGAAAAGCTCTTGATACTGTGTAATTGTAAGCGATGTTGCATTTCAACGCCATTCGCCGAACACATGTGCTCACTACTTGCTCGTCGATCCATAGCAACTTCAGGACGAATTTGTCGTGAAACTAAAGGTGGTGAGGGGGGCATTGTCAGCGGTTGTCCTGTACAAGAATGAAGTTCACCTCACAATGGAAAGGAACCAGAAGTACGATGACCTAACTCACTATTTTGAAATGCACTGGAGGCCCTCCGAATGAGGTGAACCCAAGATGATAATTAGTTCTGACGGTGTTCCATAACTTGCTCCCAAGGTCAACAGGTTGCCAGTCTCTCAAGTGTCGAATAATCATGCTGGCAGCGGTGTGGGACCACAGTCGGCGCTTTTTTCAATGACAGTGGAATACGATGACACGAGAACTAACATCAAGGGTTCTTTGGGCAGTCGCGTCTTTGCGCGTATTTGTAGGAAATGAAAGAGACAATATTCGCTTGACTAGCTTATTCACCCATCCATGGTACCTGCTCCGCATGGCGCAGCTACTCCAATCATTTCTCTCCTACCATGCACGTGGGATTAGCTATGCATCGACGCTCCCAATATCGATTTGTCGTAAGCCAATCAATGTGAGGTAATGACATTGAGCTGAACAGAAGACTCACGCAGTAAGAAGCTTAGTTATCCGTTTTAGGATTCTTTAGTAATCTATCCTTTCCAACTGCGCATCACGACCTCGATGGACTTAGAGTGAAGTATGGGGGAGTTCTGGCAATAAGTCCTTGTGAACAGGTTATCCAGTGGCTGCGTTTCTCATAATCAACTGATGGAACGGGATTCTACAAGTCCCAGCGCAGCCACACAGACTCAAGGGCCTCATTGTTCACCATTACAATCAAGTCTTCGCAGATAACAAAATGATAGTATCAATCTGCTAGTTGCAGGATACAAAGGGGTATTGTCGATATTTTCCTACCGCCGGGGATGTCGTCGTGTTGCTAAACTTATGTGTCTCGCTCGGCGCCCCTAGTTACCAATCACTGACCTAGCTGCCTCTATCTGAATTGCTGAATAGAACTGACTATGATTGCTAGGCAAGACCTCTATAAAACCGTCACTAGCTGTTAGTCGCCTTGAGAGCCTCGGCCAGGCGCTAAAGCGCCGAGGGAACCCTTCTTTTCCTAGTTTGCCGTCAAATTTTCACGAACGTCATCGACAGCGATCGTTGCAATATTTTGCGGCACAATTTTGACATTTCCTGGCGCCCTATTCAATCCCCTTCTCGAAAATGAGATTTTGGTGACGAAAATAAGTTCGTGAAAAAGGCGTCTAGTGAGGGTTCGGGTTGCCGGAATGCAAGCAACTATCATGCCCACACACAGCTCAACGTGTGACCAGAGTGCAAGGCCAAAGAAGTCATCTAGGAGTTCCATGAGCCAAGCTTCATACATGAGCATAAACATTTGTACTTACATGTCGGGTTCCATGATTTGTTAAAGACCGACACGCTTCTCAAACGCACAGCGCTGACGATTGTGATACTGACGTTTGTTAGGCTCTTCGAGAAGGTTGAAGGGAACTTAGACCTGTACTCACAAGATTCCTACGCCAAACATCGAAATGATCCCCGCCTTTTGTCTCTTATGCAAATTAAGCTTGTAAATTTGCGTGGCTGGGAGAAACAGCATCCATACGTCGATCGCGATATTCAGGGAAGCGTGCCAAAGCGTCGTGGCCGATAGGTCGGTACAATATCCAGGATACTTTCCATTCCATCCGTACCACAGGTAACTGAGAGGCTTGCACTGATTGAAATTCACAATGATGAACGTGATGCATACGGCTATGTTGAAGATGTGTGTGCCCCAGAGAACCTGCCGGAATACCTCCGTGGTCGAGCCGAAAATTCGAAGGTAGAAGAACAGGATTGAAGCTTTGATGACTGCGAGAGTCACGAAATACATAATCTCAAAGGCGAAGAAGCCCTGCAATTCGGTATCAGCAGTAATCAGTGAACAAATATTCACTATACAAACGGAAGCGGATGTGACGCTTTCTTACCTTGATGATGGCAGTGATTTGATCCCCGGTGAGCATCCAGATGTCTTTCCCAAATTCTTCCAGTTTCATTGCAATCATCGCAACTAAAAACGCAATCATCAGACCCTTTCCAAATAATCGTTAGCTGTCTAATCACAACTAAAAGGAAACCTCAACGTACATATGCAAACACAATGGTCCAATCATCCCAGCCCCATGTCGAGAGCCCCATCAATTTCGTCGCCAACCGGGATGCAAAGAATACTGTGACAAGGCCGAAGAGGAATAATGGAACCCAGAAGATTGCAGCGCTTCCATCATGATATTCGAATCCGCAGTCTTGCCAGGTTTGGTTCTTCGTAACTATCCAGGCTTCATTAGTCTAGATCATCCTTCAGAGTAGTTGAAGTGTAACCTACGCAAAGCTTGTTGTACACTACATTGTACTCGGACGCAATGGATCACGGCCATATTGTAGTTCATGTCTCCGCACAGACATGTCGAATTCGAGAACTCACAGGGCGTGTAGTCAAGTGGTTCGAAGAGACATGGTAACTAGACAATGATCGTTAAAATCGGGCCGTGTGACTCAGTACCAGCAGAAGAAGGATCAGGTGAGCTCACAGCGCAGTCTGGGACGTTATCGTAGAGGCCCAACACGAGTGATAAACAGGATAAAAACGAAATGGTCCACAGATGGAGCTTCATTGCAGATGAGTTCGCTAGGGTATCAATGTTTGATGATCAAAACATGACGGAAAGAGCATTACATACGAGGGTGAGATCCGGGGAAAGGTAAAAAAAAATATGGGCAGACTGATGCACGCTTCGGATCAGCCGTCGCAAACGAGGCGGCTTCGTGTAAGCCACGGAAGTAAATGGAGAAATGGCTTGCCGGGTGCAGAAGACCCGGCCCAGACCACTTAGGCTTTCATGACTGGGTTCGCGCCACCACCTATGACAGATAGAGCCTCGGCAACTTTAAAGAGCCCATCGTCCCTTGTTCTATTATCAAAGAACCCGCGAGGTTCCTTTGTGCCTTCCGTTAGGAAAGGTTCTCTCTGCCCGCGAGAAAAACTGCCCCTTGGACCCCCCCGGTCCCGCGCCCGCTCATTAGTCGAGTGCCTCTGCCCTCTGATTGGCTGCGGGAAGGCGATCCTGGCGTTTTGATTCGTAGTTCAAAAATCCATATCTATTGGATCCATCGTCATGGTTCTATGGGTCCTTCACCATCTATTCTTAGGATTGTGTAACGCGTGCTACCTCTTGCCCTGATACCACCCGGTCGACGGCCTTTGCCAGCTGGTCGCGTCGCTGGGTCTTGTCTAGCCAATTTCAATTCCAATTCAAACCCCCCCACCTGCGAGTCGTTCTTCCTTAGTCCCTACTCCCCATCCGTCCCGATCTGTCCGCCCCTCTCCGCCGACGCCGGAAGTTAGTTAACGATGCCGCCTCCGCCGTCTCCGCCCGAGCCCGAGCCCGGGTCCGTTCCCGAACCCCGGCCTGCCGCCCCTTCGAGTGTTTTGTGCGATAGTGAGTCCGTTACCTGGGCCCGGCGTTATCGTCTTCCTCTTGCTGCCGCATTCGACCTACTGATTCATATCCGTAACAGGGGGTGCCCTCCTGGACCGCCTCGGCGTCGGGGCGTCGTTCCGTAATCACAGGGTCGTGGCCGTGTTGTCCTGCTCTCCCGTCAAGCGTGACCTTGTCCCTCGAAGGAAAGGTAGAGCGTTACCCGTCACCTACAGCCATCGCACGATCGCTGTCCTGGTTCAGTCCACCGGCTTTAAGCGTCGTCCTTGTTGCGATCGATACGCGCGTGGTAACGGGCCCTGGGTGCAATGCGTCGTTACTCACACCTCTGAGGGCATCCAGCCGACCAGAGGCGCGTGTGCGAATTGCGTCTGGAATAACCAGGGTTCTCTCTGCAGCTTGCGTGCGTGTTTCTTGATACGCCTTGTCTACCTGTCCGTCGCTCCGGCTCTCATGCTGACTTGCTTAGACCGCGCGTTTGCCGGCCGAACCGCTGTAGAGATGGGTTCCCTGGACCACCCCCCGGTCACGACGTTTTCAGACTGTTTCCCTGCTTACGAGAGGTGGCAGTCGGAGGTCAGCGTCCTTGGGAAACCGGCCGTCGTCGCCCGTACCTCCGCCTTTAGCAGGATGACTGCTGCTGAGTTGTGTGCCACGTATGAACAGATTGCCAAGCAGTCGGAGTTCCTCCTCGCCAGCATCACCAACCTGTCCGAGGAACATCGGGTTTTGGGCCAGAAAATGTCCGAGATTACTCTGCTGCTCTCTCTCACGCGCACGTACGACGTACGGAGGCAGCAGCAGCAGTTGCCGCAGCCGCCTCCCCAACCGGGCGCTGGCGCTGCGCTCGGAAGCCCTGTCCTCGCCGTTCTCACAACGGGGGACGCCCTGCGTGATGGGGAAAGGCGGCAGTTGGACGCGTGAGTGGCCTGCTTACGTCTTGTATGCCCTGTTCTCGCGCGTTGTCTACCTCCTCGGCCGCGCGTTCGTGCGGCGCCACGGAGTTGCCACCGTGTCTCTCGTCGAAGAATGCGAGCGTCGCCTCCGCGAGCCTCTCGAGCCTTCCGATCCCCCTGACCAGCTCCTCCGGCATGCGTGCCTCCAGGAAGTGCTCGACGTTCAGGGGCTGGATGAGATCGATGTCGTCGAAGCGACGGACACGCGAGAGCTGCACGTAGAGGCTTACAGTGTCGCACCTCTCGACATCCTTACCTGACCTGCCCATGCCCCTACCGTACAGGCCAAGGAGAGTCTTGCCCAGCGTCCGTCCCTGGGTTTTGTAGTCCGTCAGCGCGAAGCCCGGTGTGCACGGCAGGCCCCTCCGCACTAGCCCCAGCTTGAACTTGGGCCGCGCGAGCTCGGAGCATAGCGTTCTGGCGTGCTTGTCGGGGACCCTGACGTTGACCGACGGTAGTAGTACGGTGTCCGGCGGGAAGTGCGGGAACGTCAGGCCTCGGGTCTCATTGTTCTGCAAGAGGATCCCGCTCGGCGGCCCGAGGAAGATGGACACCTTCTCGTTCGCGACGATCTCTTCCAACCCTGGTGGGTGGACGACCCCTGTCGCCGTGTATTCAGCCCCGTTCACCACCTTGAGGCCTATGTACTTGTTCTCGTTAACGACCACCGGCATGCCTTTGATGTAGGGGAATATGCCGGCTGCCGCCAGCCCGTTTTCGTCCCCCAGCAGCATCGCTGCCATCCTCTCCGCGGCCATGGGCACCCGTGACTCCCACTTATGCTTGGCCAGGTATAGCGACACCCGCCGGCCTGTCTCTGCGCCGTACGTGATCGCAGCGTGCAGTGTCAGGTCCCACCTGTGCCGGTTTAGCGGGATGATGGCGCACCTGCCTTCGGAGAAGTCGAGCCTTGCGTTGGGTTTGTATTTTGCCTCGAGCTAGGCAGCGTCTTCCCTCGTCTGCCTGCCGTCGCGGAGTCGCTCTAGAAACCCAAGCAGGTATAGGTCGTCCTAGGCGCGCTTCTGTTCCCTCAGGATGACGACGTTCGTGAACCTCTACCAGAGCTTCTTGGCCTCCGCCTCCCTCCAGCGCCTCTCGGCGGCACTGCCGCTTGGCGGTGGTCTTGTGCCGTCCGGGCCGGTCGCGATGCGCTCTATGTCGGCAAGCAGGCTCTTCTGCAGTACCGGCGTGAACTGGAGGAAGTTGCTTGTGAATATGACGACCGGTAGGCCCCTGAACGCCTCCTCCAGGAACCCTCTCAGCATCGGGAGCTTTTGGTTGACCTCGTAGAGCGTCAACAGGCCTAGCATGCTCACCTTGTCGACAACAAAGGCACTCCGCCTCCGCCATCGCTCCTTGGCCTTCTCAATGTTGCCCGCTGCGATAAGGTTGACCATCGCGCCCTCGGCGTTACGGAACGTGAGCCCCACAGCCGAGTGTAGGGTGGTTCCCTCGATCCCAGCGGCGGCCGTCCTGGACATTGCGGTGATGACGAGTTGATTGGAGACGTCCTTCGCGGCGAAGACCTGCTTCACCGAGTCGATGAGCCACGATTTCCCCGTTCCGCCTCCGCCCCCAATGTACTGCAGGTGCTGCCTCTCTTCGCCGTCTACACGCGCATCGAGCGCCTCGCACACCAGCGTCAGTGCCATGTGCTGCATGCGGTTTAACGTCCTTGCCGCGCTGACGGCCGCTGCCGCGCGTGTGAACGTGGCGCCGGGCGCGATGTCTATCCACGTCTGGGCGGGCAGTGGCACCGCCACCGCGGTTATCGTGGGTAGTGCTGAGAACCCTTGGTCGGCCCCGTCGTCACCGAAACCCGTTTCGGCCCCGGTATGTCTGCGGTCGGTCTCGGGCTCGTCCCCCTCGATAGCGAGCATCCTCTCCCGATGCAGCCGATCCTGCGCTGCTTTGACGGCTTTCAGGGTACGCTTGACGATCGTCGTCTGTGTTTGTCCCGTTCCATCGTGGTGCGCGCTCCCGCCATCCATGACTCTGGCTTAGAAGTCACTGTTATTTAGTGTGCTAAGCAGCGCCCCGAGTCCTGGAGACCCTCTTGTGACTCCGGCCTCGTCGTGGAGGCTAGCGACGACGTTATGGAAGGTATGCCGCAGGTCACTTTCGCCTGGGTTCCACGAGGCCCCGGGGTCCGGTGCTTCCTCGGCCCCGTCAAACTCTACGCCTTCGTCCCCCTCGCTCCGGCTGGCCCATAGCTTGGCGTCTTTCTTGGCGTCTTCGGCGCTCTTGTGAAGCAGCTGGATGTTGTCGACAAACGCGCTCACGCGCTCGGGTAGGTCTTCCTTCAAGTTCGCCCACAGCTCTGGCGGCAGCTGGTCTGATATATGCGTGAACCGCTCCCAGGGGATGAACAGCGCCAGAAGCAACACGGCCGACCTGGTTGGTGTCATCTACTGTGTTTCAGTCGGACTATGGTGTACGGGTATGGTCCACATTACCTTTTATAGAATCCTTCTACAGTCTCTTCCACCGCGTCGTCCAGGTGGCCGGTGATGACTGGTACTGCTTGGTCCCGTGCTTGGAGGATCTTCTGAATCCACCATTGGCGGTCTTCTAGTGCATCATCGAATGAGACGTAATGTGCGTTGCCTGCTTTGCTCCTATGCCCAACCCTCTGGACGCGAATTGTACAGAGGTATTCATAGAAACAAAGGTCCTTCAGCAGCGGGCCCCGGTGCGAGGGCATAAAGCCTAACGCCATGAATTCCAAAACCCACGGTCTCCGGTCCTGCGCGGAGCTGCACCTCCGGCCCCGCGGCCTGCCGGAGTCCGCCCCATCCCCGGAAGACCGCCCAGTAAAGCGAGTTCAGGTGGACGTTGACCCAGTTCTCCTCGCTGCAATAGCTGTTGCGGTAGCCGAGCAGGCTGCTGCATACCTCCACGGCCGACAGCTCACGGCTTGTGAAGATCTGGTTCGCCGTGCGCGCGAGGAACTGCCGCGCCCTATTGTTCCGCTGTGCTGTCGTCTCGTCTGTATCCTCTTCGGCTGCCGCGGCGCCACGCTCGCCCTCCCGCCCCGCCGTGCCTTCTAGCACCATCTTAACCGTTGCCATCCTCTTAAATAATGGCGTCTCAAACTTTGTTGCGTAGGTCGTCGCGTAGAACATCATCGACAGCCCTGCCGAGTTGGTGGGGAGGAACGTGGCGTCGGTGTTATGGCGCATGGCCAGCTGACCGTCGAGTAATCTGATGCCGTCACGGTTTCCTCGACCGATTCACAGTTCTGTCGTTCTGCCCCCCATTAAGTAGAGCTCACTGATTTCGTAGACTTGCTTAGAGAGAACACTGACTTGAACATTTGGTAGCCTCACTCCAACCATTGCTGATAGAGATTACACTCGGTGGCTAACACCTCTAGACTACTGCACCTTGCTAATCATTCTCCTAGCTAGGTCCCACAATGCTTGAATCTCCCACAAATGATGTTGCCGGCAGCGCAGAGCGATAGGACACATCCGCCTAACGCGCCATCTTCGCCGTGCCAGACTACGCTAGGATTCACACCAGATAAGCCTTACAACTCCACACCTCAGAAGAGCAGAAAGGACAAGACCACCGACATCAACTGGCTTACTACTTCCACCGTCTTTAACAAGCCGTTGAATTCCCTGACGACAAGATGTAAAAACCAGGTGTCTACCTGATCCACGAGTACAATCCACGGTTCTCGATGGTATTAATCGAGAGAGAGTCGGAAGCCGACATTTTATCTCTGTTTGGAACGGAGGAAATGACGTCCGAGGACGAGTTTGACGATGATTCCTCGACTTCCAGTATCCCAGGGACATCAGGTTCGTGTCTAATGGCCCCGCTGAGGATGGCGACGTCCAAGCCAGAGCCCGTCTCCACCGGCTTTTCTGCAACAGTGAGAACGCTTGAAGCCATCATGCGGACGTCGCCTGCCTACAACCATGAGCAGTTTTGTCGGACGCTCGACCCCAAGTACCTACAGGTATATGGCTTGACTGTCTTCTTCAACTCACATCGGACTGGTGATTCACCTCCTTTGTGATCCCAGACGCCGAGTATCTTAGATCTAACAGTTCTCCGTGCCATCAACAATTGCAAGTCGTTGCATTGCCTGCTCAGCCAGTGGTTCAGGACTTGCTCTACCAAGAGGATGAGGGTCGCTGCATCTCGGAGTCCGGCGTCCAGCACGGATCTTGGAGACGCGACATAGTCATCATTGCGCCGAACTATCTTGTTTTCTACAGGTCTGCTAGGAAAGACTAGGACTCTATTGAAGGCGGTTCGCATTGCTGATGTACAGACAGATATAGTTGATGTGGCGGATCAAGATATCAAATCATACGAGCTCTAAAACGGTTCGTTTCTATTTACATTAACCCACCTAGAACCACCATTTGATAACAACCGCTCCTGCTCAGGGGAGGTTGATCATGTTAAGGAGTTCATTACCGGGTATCCGTGCTACCTGTCTCGGAAACTTTTTCTCTAACAGACGTAGTGCAAGGAGATTCAGATGAACGGCTCTGGTACATCCGAGACTGCCCTTCACGGGAAAATCCCACTCATTACCACGATGCACTTGGTTTTATCCAGCTTGCGGACTTGCTGAGTGGAGTCCACAGTTGTCTTAACGCTAAACCGTACAAAACACTGTAGATCGTCCTCTGGATCTCAAGCTAGCGACTCATCGCTGTCGTTCGACTCCAGGAGCCGAACCTCCTGAAACTTTCGAAGTAAGACCTCCGCCTGTGCTGCACAAGGATTTGTCACTGCCAAGTCCAAATCCACGATCAGGAAAGCCAGCACTTGGTGAGGGACTTTACGGTGCTTGGCCCGAAGTTCAAGGTCTCTTTTGATTCCCCTGGCCTGCGAAACGTCCAAGACACCCTTTTCTAGAGCCATGGACAACAGGCTCAGCGCTATGTCCTTGGCTAAGAAAAATCCTGTGTACAATGTTTGGTAGCAGGCCATACAAAGGCGGAAATGGAATCGCCATTCCGACGCTTTTCCAGGAATCTTTGCCTCGGCTAGCATCGCATTTGCGAGGTAAAGCAGTCCTGAGTGCCAAAGGAAGCAGTATGCAGACTGCGGATAGCTTTGCCGGTAAAGGAGCACGAGTCTCTTCAACTGGTTCACGGATGATTTGTAGACGGCATCCGGGGTGGAGTCTTTGGAACTGAAGGCGGGAAGTCGCTGTCTAGTAGCGCCGTGTTGCGGAAGAAGAGGCCTAAACAGGTCCATGATGACCAAGTGATAATATATACTAGACACCGCTGTAGCTCCTGAATTTTATTGATCACTTGTGACTTACTGCAAAATCATAGCGTGGTGTGTACACTCATCACCTTGAGCCATTTTGAGCGGCAAGCCATCTGCCCATTCCAAAAGCAGTTGGTAGGTCTCCGCGGCGAAGGGCAGAGTTATGGCATTGGCGCACGGGGCCTGTTCTGTTTGGTACATGACTTGGATCAAGCTGTGGGCTATCGAGGAGAGGCGACAGTGCTCACGAAACAAATTGTCGTCGTGTGTTTGTCTTTCGTGTTCTTCCAACGTGTTCACATCTTCTGCAGCATGTATGCTATTGTCTGGCGGGGGTAAACGGGGTGGGTGCTGGACCAGGCGCTGATGGACGTGCATTGAGAAAAAGCTTTGTCAGATCCATTAGCTTGCACACATCAACGTTACGGACAATGCATAAGTTTGAAATTCAGATCACCGGGATTGAATTAATGTCAGAAAACGACTCTGGACGGACGAATCCTGCTTTGTGGAAAGGGAGGTAGGAAAGGGTTAGGACGGTAATGGGGATGGTCTGTGAGGGGAAATGGAACGGAGCAGCTGGATTCATGAATCCAATGATGACGTACGTAAGATTGTTGAATAGCGCCCACGCAATTCGGGCTCTTGCTCGCTGATATTCGGCGTTGTCGTTAGAATCGCTCTTTGATATTATCTGAGAAGGGTCAATGTCGAAAAGCTCGAGCCTTATGGACATCCCTAAGAGATCGCTAAGTAACTCCACATAATCTGCCCCTGCCCCATGGGAGGTTGCGGTTATTAATAAGTAATACAGGGCAGCCACAGTACAGACATGACCTGTGGCTTGAGCTTCTTCAGTGCTCTTCCACAATGCTTTTGCTTTATTATAAAAGGTATAGCTCAAAACTGTGGCCTCCGGTTCAAAGGCAGCATATGCCTGCTAGTTCAGCATAAGACTACGCATACAATTGAATTATAAACTTATCAATTGTGAAAACACTTACAGAAGCCCAGGCCAATAGCGCATGGATGAGAATTCGAGAACAAAACTCATTTTTACCAAGCAGCCCGTTCAATAATAAGTTAACGTCAATCAGGGGCATCATCGGGTGATCGGTCTCGAGGTAGAGCTGTAGGACCGCGATGAAAAATTCGCTGGTGATAGGCACATCCGTCCATTGAGTTATGTCGACACCGAGCAGTCTATTGTCATACAGTGTGGACGGTCTGAGGGGCTCAACCAGACTTTCTGCGTCTGGGCTTCTCTCTCGACGTTCGTGGCCATATGGTGTAAGGTAGGAACTACCATCGGACGAGCCTGCAGTACTAAATAGATTTTCAAAGTTAGTGAGGATCTAATGATGCGCCGCCGCCAACAATAGCTTTAGGTACAATCGGGAGTTTCCTAGTACATTTCCAAGCCCGTTTCAGGGCTAGCAGAGACGTAACAGCTCCATCTGTGCTGCTTGACAATAGAAAAGCTTACACAATCTGCCCAGCTCCGTCCCATCGAAGTTTTCTTGGGAGCAGCAGGAACTCCAGGTCAATCCTGAGTGGCCGAACCGGCGCCCAGGTAGGGTAAGCAAGAGGATGCCTTGTCATCAGCTCGAATTCCAAAGAAGACTGCTTAGGTGGCAGAATTGCCCTGTTGAGCGCAGCTTGCGACAACCCTACGTTGTACTTCCGCAAAGCTGAGCCCACCTCGGCCGGTTTGTTACCACTTCTTAGAAGCTTGAGTGCCTCTAGGGCCTCGTCATCTGGCACATGCTTCAAGATTTCAAGCAAATCTCCGGCGTCAGCATTGTTTAGAGCTTCTTCCTTGTCCACAAGTTGGGTTCCGGGGGGGATGGCCTTCAGAATGGAGTCGGTAATCACTCTGTATTCACACTTACGACCACGGCGCAAGCATTGTGAGCATTCTGGTTTACCGTCGCACTGTTTAAAGTTGATTGTCAGTACTACTGGCTTGTATACGAGGCACCAATACTTAGCATGGCCAAGTGGGGCATGGTCGGCTGCATTTTGGTTTCTGAAGAGGAAGGAAACCCCGCCGTTTACTTACGGCATTCTTCTTCTCCCGGCAGAAGTTGCATGCTTTCAAAGTATTGGGTCGTTGTCTTTTGCGTCCCTTCCTGTTACTTGCATGATTTTCCATGATCTCTAAATCGTGACGGGGCCCTTGGGCGGGTTGCGGAAGAAGCGGACGAAGCCGCTGACCGTCCAGCGGCATATGAAGACGATAATCGAGTTCTACGCCGATGCGTGCCGGGTGTAAGGTCTGTTTTTGACGATCGAGAACCTCTCAGTCGTAATGTGATAATGACAAAAAGATTCTGAGACTTCAAAGATTTGTTTGCCACCTTGTTGGTCATTTCAAAGGGATGGATGACAAAGGACGAAATGAACCCCGGCCGCTCTTATGACACACTAGGAGTTGGCCTATACCGTCTTTGACCGTGTGGCAAAGCTGCCCACACCAGCCGGCAAAATTCCGACGAGAAGCCGATTAGACTCCGGAGGCCGAGTCACTACACAAGCTGATAGTGACGCACGGTCCAGCAGGCTTCTCCACGCTGTACATAACATGCAATCTGTCGGGTACTAAGATGACAAGCCCGGGTAGGGGGTCAATGTGATTATCAACTTCATAAACCCTTTTATTTACAATCAGGCGCTCAGCTCGTCCAACCTTTATCCAAGCGTCTCCTTTTACTGGCTCCATGCGCTGGGTATCCCATATGTTTTTGGTTATCGTGGGTTAGTCAGTCCTTCTGACTGGGGAACTGTCACAATTACGGAGCCGCCGGAAGTAGCTGGAAGCGATCGCGGGATATATATTGGTTGAATGGACGGGTTAAGTCCTCATTCTGCTGTTGAGTTTACCAGCACCTTAGTAAGTCTGGATTGCCTATGTACTTTCTGTAAATCAAAATATCTAAGAAGAGGTGCTCCTCATCAGCCGAAGTCTGCCACCACGTGTATACTGATGGTTTACGCTGAGATCTATACTTCGACCCTTTCGCGACGCGTCCAGTTGCGAAACTTGGACGCGGATCAGGACATAATCACAGTCATGCGCGATACGAAGGTTGACGGGACCGACCAACCACCATGATGGCGTGTGCAACCCGACGATGAAAGCCCGGCGAGGCCTAGAAAGCGGAAGACTCTTTAGTGATGTGATCGAAAGGCGGAATGATCTGGTCAGAAACGCGGTCGGGTGGTATTTAATAAAGTCATGATTTTATGAGAGATGAAGCTCTAAAGTACTTCAGTGAATTGTAAGACGATGTCCTCATTGTTTAACGGACAGAGCAGATAAAAGGCTCGGTCCAGCTGCCACGAGTCTCGACTCCCCCGGGCAGTCACTTACACAACTCCTACCTCCCACCTTGGAAGGGGGAGTGCAACATGATAAGCTTGGTGCCGCATACTAGCCGGTTTCCATGATTGCGATCCGGATAAGAACCTGACGGCTACTCAATGCGAGGAACAGTAGAAGTGAACTCTGATTGGAAATAGGGGTGATTTGCATTCCCATTCGTGCTCCTCTTCTGTGTGCCCAAAGGTTTGGGAACAAATACTATCGGAAAGGAACAACCTTAAATGGAAGGTTGTTTGACATAATTGGCTTACGGCTTCGATCAGCCTGGAGT